TAACCAAGAGGGTTGGGGGCGCCCCCTAGGGCTTCCCACCTCCCGGCTTGGGGGGCAAGTCACCCTAGGGGAGATCCCATCTGCCTTGGCCACCACTCCTAGATTGGATCTAGGGCGCCTCCTCCTCCTCCTCCCTTCCCCCTATATATAGAGAGGTAGAGAGAGGGCAGCCGCACCCCAGAGCACATCTCCACACCACGGTGCTGCCTCTCCTCTCCCTCGCATCCCTCTTCCTCTCCGTAGTGCTTAGCGAAGCTCTGCTGAGATTCCGCCACCACCATCGCCACCACATCGTCGTGCTGCCGGAGGACTCGAGCCACTACTTCACCATCGCTCGCTGGATCGAGGAGGTGAAGGCGTCATCAAGCCGTACGTGTGTTGAACGCGAAGGTGCCGTCCGTTCGGCACTTGGATCGGGAGTTCGCGGGACGGATCGTGATTGGATCGCGAAGATGTTCGACTACATCAACCGCGTTTCTTAATGATTCTGCTTAGCGATCTACAAGGGTATATAGATCCAATCTCTCCTCTCGTAGATGGTCATCTCCTAGATTGGTTCTTCGTGACGGTAGGATTTTTTTTGTTTCCCATGCAACATTCCCCAACACTTACGACCCATATCAGCTATGTGGTGATGGAACTCCAGAGCTCGTCCATCTTTCCTGAGTCTGTTCCGCCGCAGCAACTTATCTGTGATCGGGCAGGGCAGCGCCACAGCGGCCGCCGACAAAGCTGGATACCATCACGGAAGAAAGTACAGTTCCACCTTCATGATGTACGAAGACGGATTTTGGGGAGCTGTGTGATCCGGCGGGGCAGCATCAGCGCAGCCGTCACCACTGACGCCGTCCACCTCCACCAGCCCCTCTCTGCGACTGACACCAATGTTCTTGCTGGGGAGCAGCATTCCAGTGGGAAGAGCGGGCTCGCCTTGCGGCTCCACTCTAGGGACTTCATCCAGGAGGAGCAAGGCCGGCATCAGAGCCACATGCCCCTCGTGCTCGCCCACCTACGCGTCGAATCAGCCTGGGCCGCCGCACTATCGGCGCGCGCATCTCTGGCTGCCGATGGGATCTCCCGCGCCGACCTGAATCCGGACAACACCATGCCGATCTTCGAGGCTTCGACGACGGAGATACAGGGGCTGGTGGTGTCCGGCGTCAAGTAGGGCAGCGACACATACTTCTCTCACGTCGGCCTTGGCTGTCCCGCGAGGCAGCTCTGCATGGTGCTCGACACCAGCAGCCACGATGTGGATGAGACGGTGGGTAGAGGAGGGCATCGTCAAGCCCTAGGCATCATGCGATCGGGATGTCGTGGGTGGGGCGTGGTGGAGGTTGCGAATGACGCGTTTGAGATCTGCCGGGCGACCTGTTTCTTTTCTTTTCTGCGTGGGCTGCGTGATTGTAGGAGTTGCGATTGCGGGCGCATGGAATTTGTTTTCCTCCAGGTGAAGCATGGTCAGTCAACGCAAATTACTAAGTGCGCATCCAAAAACACATTAGGGTAAAGCTAGCTGTTAGATTAAGATTAGTGGGCCTAAGCAAATGGTGGTAGTGCGTCTGTGTGTGTTTTGTTGGGTGCGTTTAGTGAAAACAATGTTTGATTATTCATAAGTAGTGGAGGTTGTGGTTGGATGGTTAGAGGGACAGTGGTATCCCAGCCCATCAGGGTTGAAGTCCCGGTGCTCGCATTATTCCTGGATTTATTTCAGGTTTTCGACAATACGTTTTCAGAAGGAGACGTTTCCGTCGACGACGAGACGTCTACGGTGACTTCATAAATCTCAAGATAATATGCTGACTGAGTCTCTCGAAGGTGCTTATAGGAGCAGGATGTGCGTGTGGGCGTTCATAGGCGTGAATTTATGCGCGTATGTATGAGCGCTTGCGTCTATACTATGTTAAAAAAACACGAGACAACATACATGTTTTTTTTCTACATACTTCACCCAACTGTTCTTGTACGTCCGTCTTTTTGTACCTACGGTGCATCTCCCTGTATTGTTTGATACCTTTTTTATTGGTCAACCTTTTTTGAACCTCTGAGCTTTCAGTACTTCGAGCCATTTCTATTTCTTCCTTTCAATCCTTTGATCGTCTTCTTTCTTTTTTCGTGCAATTAATTTGCTTTACCTGATGTTAACTCATCAGTTTCTCATGTTCTGTCATTTCGCAGGTCATCGTTTTTCCCATCAGAAATTGCTACACCCCCTTTGCCAACTTTTTATCTTCCTATGATACATGATGTCGTCTCTCAAATATCCATCTTTCGATTCATATTTTCTCTTACCAGGTACCACAACTTTTTCGTTCTTTCAACCGCAATGATTTTTCTATTTCATTGTTACTCATAAGATTTTAGTTCTTTTTCTGTCAAGCTACCAAACTTACCTCCTGTTTCCTCGTGAACTTAGCCCACCCGTTAAGTTATGTCCCACGGAACTTGCATCTGTACGCTTCTTTGAAACTTACCCACTCTCCGCCAGTTATGTCCTCCTACTTAAATTTCTAAAATTTTATTTTTGCTAGATTTTTATGCGTTGATGCCTCAGATGTATCGTCTACTTCGACACTAGATCGGTGATCATTGAAGATTCTTGTGTCCTCATAGCTCAAAAGTGTGCCCCTCCATCCACATATTCATATTTTCTTAGTGATCTTATCTATGATAGGTTGCAGGTCCTCCCTTCTTAACTTGAGATAGTGCAAAGGAACTCCTAGGTATTTAATAGGGAAATCCCCCAACTTGCACCAAAAAATTTGTGACAAGAGGTCAGCATTATCTACATCCAGGTTAATAGTCACCAAGTCACACTTATCATAATTAATTTTCATCCCCGACAGTTGGATAAAGCAAGACAGGAGCCACTTGAGTTTTTTTTTTGCATAATTAGGATCGGGGTCCAGGAATAGCATCGTATCGTCAGCATACTGCAAACTAACCAAACCATCAGGAATGATGTTGGGGACAACCTCGACTATGTTTTTTTGGCTGCCTTAGCTAACATGCGAGAAAAAAACATCGGCAATCAGGTTAAAAAGCATGGGATAAATGGGATCTCCTTGTTTTAAACCTTTGCCCCCCCCCACCCCCCATAAAATATGGCCCCATAATATCGTTAATTCTGACACAAAAGAGCTGTGTTGAATGGAAGATATAACACAAGTTATCCATTTATCACCGAAGCCTCGAGAAGCAAGCATTTCCACAAGGAAATCCCAATTACTCATATCCTCTTCGCAAGGCTTGCAGAAGGATACCTTTGATTCATTTTCTGTGTTATCAAAGATAGGAGGCATGTCAATGGGGAGGGGGGATGCATGATAGAATGACTCCGGTTTGGTGGTGCTCCCTAAATATTGGCAAGCTTCGAGGTGAAAATCCTTAGGTCCTACCATTGTTGGTTGTACCTAGGAATGATGGTGATCACACATTGTTCTTTTATGAAGATGTCGCTCAAAGTTTCTCCCAGTGGAAAACTCATGTTCTCGTCTTTAACAGTTCGATTTAGTGATGGTGGGCCTTAATCGTTTTCCCCTTCTTAGTGTTGTTTTTTGTTGTTGTTTTGGAGAACCTTTCTCACCTTCTGCTGTTGCCAATGAAGGTGGTTGATTTTAAAGATTTTTTGTCGCAAATACGCAAAGCTTGCATGCCTTTTCATTGATAGAAGAAGTTGAAGAGGAATACTTTCTTGGGGGGGGGGAGGGGGGGATCATTACACACATACTCTACAATGCATGCACGTGATAGCCCGAGCAGAAGAAAAAAGGGATGCCCAACCCATAGAAACAAGATCCAATCTCAGTGGGGGTATGTCTGAAGACCCATGTGGCGCCCAGTCTATCCTACTGCCATGTGTCATCCTAGATGTCATGCGTTGATGTTAAAGGTTGTTGTTATATGATGTAATCGCTTTGACGTAAAACCGGGGTGTATGTTCCTTCTTGATCATTTTCAATAATTTGACAGTGTCTATTCTTGTAGATGTGTTGACTGGTTTTGACATTGTCTTATGGCAAGGATAGGATGTATTTGGTATTAACTTGGCAGTAATACATTATCATTTATCGGAAAAATAAATAGCTTACATGAACACTACCCTAAGAATCTTTTTTAAGAGTCAATCCTAAGAACCTTCACTCCAACAACTGTACTCCTTTCGTCTTAAAACATAGTGCGTATTAGAAATTTTTTAAAGCCAAACTTTGTGAACTTTGACCGAATTTATAGAAAAATTTATTAACATCAATAATATGATAATATCGTTAGATTCATCATAAAATATATTCCATATATGGTGTATGGTTGATATTATAGATTTTGATAATTTTCCAAAATTTTGATTAAAGCTTATGAAGTTTGACTTTCGCAAAAACTAGTGACGCCATTGCTAGGCCCTGTTTGGTTCATAAGTCCTAGGACTTTTTTTTAGTCCCAACTTATAACTCTCAAGTCCCTAAAAAGTCCCTACCTGTTTGGTTCCTGGGACTTATAAGTCCCTACAAGACCATATTACAACTATAAGTCCCTATAAGTCCCTTCTTGAGAGTCTTATTTTATAAGTCCCAAATGCCCATTTTAAGTCCCTATAAGTCCCTTCTGTTTGGTTTAGATGAGACTTATATGAACTTTTTTAAGTCCTAAGCCAATAAATTTCTGAAAACAAACACCCTCCTAGTTCAGAAAGCAAAGCAAGAAACATTTCATTCCTCTTGCTCCACCGTGAAATCCGGCTCCGTGGGTTTCTTGAGCGCCTTGCCGTCGCAACTGTGCCGACGGCGCCTGACGCTCCCTCCCGGCCACGCCTCGCTGCCGCCCTCGCGCACCCTGAGCTCCATGGACGCGCGTCGGCGCTTGTGGCGGCGCCATGCGGCCTGGATGAAGCACGCCGCCCAGGTGCGCCACTGGTGGGAGTAGAAGCGGAACCTGTGGCGGATGCGCGCGCTGTGCAGGCGGCGGAACTGCGAGGCGACGAAGCGGAGGTCATCGGCGACGAGCGCGAACGCCTCGACCTCGGAGACGGCGCGCACGGTGCGCGTGGACCTCGGCAGCGCCTCGGCGGGCCGCGGGTCGAGCGCCCACGTCAGCAGCTCCTCCCCGCAGAACTCCCCCGCCCCGATGCGGCACGAGTTGAAGAAGCCGGACCTCCCGCCCTGCGTGGTGTTGGAGTCGAGGTGGCCCCTGATGATGAAGAGCATGGAGTCGACGGGGTCCAGCTCCCGCACCAGCCGAGTGCCGCGCGTGTAGAGCGCCGGGCGCAGGCGCTTGCAGATGGCCTCCAGCATGCGCTCGTCCATCTCGTCGAACAGCGGCACCCGGCGGACGAGGTCGAGGCAGAGGTGGCGCTTGATGTCGCGGCGGATGTCCATGGGGAGGTCCTCGAGCAGCGCCTCCTCGTCGACGCCGCGGGTGGCCACCCACTTGTACTGGTGGTAGCGCCTGACGCACTCCTTGAGCGGCTGCGGGATCTGGCGGTGCTGCATCCAGCGCTCCATGTCCGTGCGCTTGGTCCGCCACTCCTCCAGCCGCACCATGGTGGCCTGGAGGTAGGACTGCATGTTGCCGATGAGCAGCGCGAAGAGCACGAGGCCGAGGACGCCGATGACGATGGCGAAGCTGATCTCGCCGATGGAGAGGCTGGTGTTGAGGTTCTGGCCCAGGCAGCTGAGGTTCTTGAGCCCCCACCAGAAGCAGTAGAAGTACTTGTGCGTGAAGGAGGAGGTGGTGAGCTGCGCGTCCAGCGCCTCGCCGAAGATCCCGAACTGGTAGAAGCCGTTGTTGCCGGGGGCGCAGAGCCTGGTGACGTTGGTGAGCGCGTACCAGACGCTCCGGTTGCTGCTCACCGTGCTCGTGCAGTCGAAGAAGCGGTCCTGGCACGGCGGGCCCTCGACGCGGCACGCCTGCCGCCAGCACGACTCCTGCCGCTGCACCGAGAAGAGGTACCACAGTGCTCCCAGCACCTGCACGCACGCAACGCCCAGTTGATAATGGTCACCACTCAAGAAAGAAATTTATTTTGCTTGGAGACGAGAGAGGGAGAAATCAAGGCAACGCACGTGGCTGGCTAGCATGTAGAGTATGAGGTTGTAGGCTGCTCCGGCCCAGGCGTTTTCGGTCATGACCCCTGTCGCCATCACGATCCGCCTCGTCAGCGGGAAGATCTGTAGCAGCCGCGGCAGGTACTGGAAAATGATGCTAAAGCGGAGCACGTTCTTTATGTTTGTGATCGCGGATTCCCTCAGCTTCGGCACCACCACCCACAACACAAACTGCACCAAAGTATCCTAATGATTCTTCGTGTACAACCAAAAGAAAAAAAGTGTATCACCTGATTTTTACCTCGATCATCGTATATACGACACGGAAAATATCACGTGAAAACCAACATTAGATGGAAACCGATGAAAACCACGCGAAAAAGATGTTCTGAAGTTTAAAAATATCTCAGAAAAAAAATTAATGGTGTTAAAAGGTGATGATCTATTGCCATGCGAAATTTCAAGTTCAAACATATTACTTCATTCTCATCTGGGTTAATGCCACACTATCAAAAGTTAGGGCTGTTTGGTTTGAGACTAAGTTTGCCAAAGTTTGCCACACCTAAGGTTAGGCAAGTTTGACCAACTTAGGTGTGTGTTTGGTTCAAGCCACATTTTAGGCAAGCCACACTATGGTCCCACATCACATACACACAAAAAGTGTGGCAATATTCACTTAGGCTTGCCAACTTGTGGCTCTCATTTTGAAGAATTAACCTTAGGCAAGTTTGGTAACATTGTATGGCAAAGTGTGGCACTCCTAGGCCTAGAACCAAACAACCCCTTCTTTGAGAAAATTGTCGAAGTTAGTCTTGTTTCCTAGTTCTAAATCGCAGTTTCTTGTTTTAAATTGTTTAGCTTTGCAAAACTGTATTGTGGGATGGAGGGAGTAACATAAATTTTGGTCGTGTACAAGTAAAAGAAAAAGTTAACCATCCTTTGTTTTTTATCTAGTTTCGTCAGCTTTCTTTTTGTTTCATATTTTATCATATGTGTCACAAAGTGAAAAAGATATGTCACACACACACACACACACACACACGCACGCACGCATGCACGCACGCGCACACTCACTGGGCTACTTCCTCCAACCCTGAAAAGAAGAGACAATTTAATTGTCTATTTTGTGTTTTGATCATCAATTAGTCGGATAAAATACCATAAATTTCGTACTCAAAAACACTTCCGCATTATTTTCGTAACCATGACCTAAATATCGTATGAGAGTTACAGTCAAAGCATGAATTTGAAAAGTCAAATCCAACAGAGCCACTACTAGCCCTGTAAAATGGGGAGGCACCCATTCCCTCTGCCTAGCCCCTTCACCCATAGGTGTGCTACAGGGCACTGAAATTCAGCCAATCAGACGACGGAATAATTTTCTATCCCTCGCCTCTAACCCCTCCCATGAGTCCGCGAGCTCGTGGCGGTCCTTAGCTCCCACCCCGCCCACTGTCTCCCCTCTGCCAGATCTACACTGTCTCTGGATTAGGATTTTCCACCCCGTTGTCGTTGTTGTCCTTTCATGAAACTCCTCTCTGTACAGGTTGTTCTCATCCTCTAGTGTCACCCCTACGCATGGCTCCTCCTCTCTGTTGGGTGGCATCACCACGTCCGTTTGTGCTCCCCTTGACCTTCTCTGCCCCCCTTTCCTTCATCACTCTACCTCTTTTCCCTAGTATCCTGAGGAGCCCTGCCGTCCTACCTCTCGGTCCCATCCTCCCAAGGAGCACCGAGCCGAGGTAAGTTTGGCCTTGTTGTCAACATGTTTGAATGATTGTGCTGAATTTGTGTAAATATGTGGAGGAATTATGTAGAATAGTTATGCAAAAAGCATTCTTTTTGTCAATTGTGTATCAAAGCTGATATCAAATTATGTTTCAATGTTATTTTCATATCAAGTCTTATGTCAAGATGTGGGTTCAATGTCATTGCATGCCGGCTTGCAGTGTGAATTTTATATCGAAGTGTATTTCAATAAAACTTTGACATCTTTTTTTGTGGGATTAAACTTTTACACCAATTTGTATGCCAATTTGCAATATCAATTTTTGTTTGTTCATTGTATTGAGTTGTTTGCAATGGCTTGTTGAGGTGATTCTCGTGTGATGTCCGAGGAAATTGATGCTGATGCAATTTCAATACCAATGCCACTTGTTTCTGGAACATAAACCATGGTGGAGAAGTGTTAGCGAAGACATTAGTCAACTACACTCATAAGGAGGACATGTAATTGTGCATGCCTAGATAGGATACTAGTAATTATCCTATTGTTGGCAATGAGCGATTGTTGAAGTCATATTGGAAGAGGATTAACAAAAACTTCCATGCCAACCGCACTTTTGAGCTTGATAGGAATGCAATCTCTCTTGAGCACCATGGAAATACCACTCAAAAGGAATGCATCAACTTTCGGACCTCCATTGACCAAATTAAGCATCACCATCCAGGAGGAAAAAAATATAAAGAGCACATAAGCTGATTTATCTCTCGATAATTTTCTACAATATTGTATGCATGTTGGCTAACACTTCATCATTGTTCTAGCTTGCTGAACCACATGCAATCTAATCTTTAAGGGAACCAAAGAATAAGTCAAGCTGAGGAATAATCAGAAGTTTCAAGTTATGGGCCCTAACATAATGCCATGGTACAACAAGTGTTCCACTCCACCGAATTTAGTTAATGAAGAAGAAGCAAATAATGATAGCAAAATAGGCCTACACCCGACTCAAGACAACCACTTCTTGTGAGAGGCAAACTTGTAGGAAGAAAGCAAAGGAGAATACGCAGACAGAGGATAATTTGGATCATACAAGGAGGCCTTACAGGAGAGTTGCTCATGGTCAATGGGTAAGAAGGGAAATTGAAAGAACAGAGATGGAGATTGACTAGGTGATTCATGACCATAAACTCTCATTTGAGGATTACGGATTGATGTGGAAATAAGAATTAGAGATCATTTTCTATGATGTCTCCACATTGGAGGCAAATGTGAGGACATATGTGCAGGCAATGAGACAAACATTACATCTGCATAGGGGATGCCCTCAATGGTGGCTTTGGTGGTACATTAGTATCTGGTGGTGGAAACGGAACTGGTTCGGACATTAGTGTATTAGATGCCAATGACTAATGTTGTTGCTTATTTGTGATGTTTGAATGGCATTTTCTACTAGTATATTTCTGTGTTTAAAAGTATGAGTTTAAGTGTGAACACGGGCGTTTGAAATTGTGGGTTTTAATACAAATGAAATATATGCATTAGAAATATCAAATTTGAATTACCGTGCTATGGGACAAATAGTGTATATGTAGCATATGTGAGAAAATGAGTCGAAAATAAATATAGTTTGAGAACTGAGGACTACTGATGAAGTCCGGGGCATTATTTGGAGCCTTGGAAAATGGGGGAGCCCTTAGAAGCCATGTTGAGATGCTCTAACATATTGGTGTTCTCTTTGATTCAAAAGGATTTACAAACAAATTTTGGAGAAGTATAATCTTGAGGAATTTTTCGTATGCACCTTGTTTGATTCATAGAATTCCAGTGCACATGATTGATTTGCACTAGGTTTCCTAGAAAACATTCTATCCACTTCCTTTTTTCTTCTTGTTTTTGCATTGACCCTTCGCATCCGTTTGGACCGCCCGATCCGGACGTTTTTCGCCCTCCAACGAGGTCCTGAATCCATCTGCGGGCCGATCCAGACGCCCTTTTTTCTTGCAAACTAGAGGCAAACTTGGGGGTGGGGTGATTTGCGGGAGTTCGGACACCAGTCACGTAGGACTGCGACACCCCAGGCTCACTGAAATCCCCCACCCGGTCCCCTTTTGCCAATCCACCCCTGCCCCCCTCCTTTTATCCGCACCCCTCGTCATCTTTCGTCGCCGATGTACCTCTTTGGCCACCACCCAGGCATCCTCGGATGTCCGTAGACCCCACCAACGAGACTGTCAGCCTTGGACTACGATGTTGTCCACCGAGATATCCCTTTGCATCACTGCTCACGCCATCCATGGTAGACACCGTGCCCGACATGTGTTTGGTTAAATGCCATCGAGCCTTTTTTGAACTTTTTGTTGTTTTCTAGAGAAGCACGATGGCGGCGTACTCGGTGTACGAGCATGAGTTATTATGCGATGCGTGTTTGGCCGTTTCTGAGGACTTTGTAGGCATGAACAAGGGCCCTGCCTTTTGGCCAAGCTTGCATGATTCGTTTCATGAGCGAAAGAACTTCACGCCCTACAACATTCATGTCATCCATGCACGCAATATGAAGTCACTAACACATCGGTGGTACACCATTGGCAACTCTGACATGAAGTTTTGTGGTGCGGTTCACCAAGTGGAGACAATGTGACTATTGGGCTCGTCAACCATCAAGATTGTGAGTGTTGCTTCCTATTACTCTACATTCATTCACTCAGGCCCCGTTCGGCTCACGGGAAACTTGGAGGAAAGGCGTAGGAAAGTTGTTCCTCTGGAAAATTTGCCATCACCAACGTTTGGGACAAAGGAATGTAGAACCGTGTTCTAGAGGAAAAGTTCCTGGAGCGTGTCGTTCCCTACTGATTTCACGGGATTGAAAAAATCCACCCCAACCTCTTGTTTTGGCGGAAGCCCGAGGCAAGAAGGCAGAAGTGCGGTGTGAATATGAATAAAATATTGAGTGAGAGGAGGTTTTTGAGGTGCAGACAAAAGTAAATCACTACTTTGCCGATTAAAAAATATAGCATAACTGTAGAATCGATGGTTTTTCCCATACTCTCTCTTCAACCCGAACACACTTCGTACTGTTTGTTCTGCCGTTCCCTCCATTCTGTAACTCCTATGTTTTACACCTACATTCATCTGCCATTCCTCTATTTCTCTTATTCCCTATGTTTTAAATTCCCGTGAACCGAACATGACCTCAATATTGATGTACATGTTGTATAGCCTGTACGCGGTGTCATGATGTGCTACAAGACCGAGGCAGGCCATTCACGCACATACGTTGTGGCATGAAGTTCAAAGACAGTTTGTGTGAGACGACATCTGTCGGTTCTGACTCTAATACCGTTGAATTTGGAATAGATTTTTTCAAAAAACTTATTGAACATTCGGTTATCTCATTAAATTTAAACTATTGTTGTACTTGAGATATTTGCATAAATGCATTATGCTATTTTCTATAATTACTTTGAGTGTTGCAGGCTTGGTTTTTATGTAAATTATATCTGAATTTTACTGAATTCCATCATGTTTGGTAAACATTGTTCGGTTTGTTGAAATAAGGCTTAAAATGTATGCGAGCCTTATTGGATGGCCGACTCTCGTATGACTGGCCGCGAACTAGTCCGCGAATGGTGTTCGATTGCAGAAAAATCAGTTCTCTATAGTACTACGTTTTGCAAACAATCAATCAATGAATGAGGCAAGTTTTTTGCCTCCTTTCAAAAAAAAAAAATCAATGAGATGATACGTACAAGTAGAACGTACCTGCGGCAGTGGTAGTGCGGTGAACAGATCGAACCAGAAGGTCCATGCAAGGTACCGCCTGGCGATCTGGTACGGGTTGATAACGAGCTCCCCTCTCCCGAACACCCGCGAGGACGGCGCGATGAAGGCGGTGCGGAAGCGGATGACGATGTGCGCTGCGTAGAAGACGTCCAGCAGCGAGCGTATCATGGAGAGCGTGAGCGCCAGCGAGTAGTCGAAGCCGACGCACGCGTCCCGCCGCGTCCCCGTCAGGTACAGGAAGAGCGGGTCCACGAAGAGCGACGCGAGGCAGGCGGCCAGGAACACCTTGTGCCACCGGTGGATCACCTGCCCGCGCGGGTCGAAGAAGAAGAAGAGGTGGCGGTCGCCGCCGGCGTGCATCAGCGACTCCAGCTCCTCCGAGAAGGCCCGCGACAGCACCCTGTCTTTGAGGGCCCTGCCGCCGCTCGTGCGCGCGCGCGGTTTCTCCGGGGAGTCACGGGATCCCGGCCAGCACCGCCTCGGGTCATGGGACCTGCTGCGCTTTCTGCCCGGCGGTGGTTGCGGGCTCTCGAGAGGGCTCGCTCTGAAGTGCTTCACGTCGACGTCGTTCTGAAACCTGAAACGGCAGTCGGCAACGCGCCCGGAGCTGTAAATCTTAGCACCGCGGTAAAACGATCGAGCATGATCAGCGACATGCATGCGGGAATGATCGGGAAGACGCGCGCTCACCTGACGGTTCGTGAAGCACCGGATGCCATGGTACTGTACGTACTGGTGTTATTTGGCAACTCGTCGGAATCATGGATGTGTTGCATATGCGACGCCAACGGTATTTATATAGGCGAATGGTGCTGGCTCTTGCCGTAGTAGAATGTGGATGCAGGCATAGCATGAGTCGTCGTCTTCAGCTGTGGGAAGAGAGTGACCGCAACAGCCTGCTCAGCCATGAGAGTCAAAAGGGCCATCTGCAATTAATTTCAACAGGGATCTTGTGATCCTTGTACTTAAAAGGTACAGCACCAAAGGAGACCTGCACAAAAAAGTTCTTTTGGACAGGCAAAACACCGACCGGGCGCATGTGATTATGTATATTGCCTACTTGACTTTCTCTGAGGTTCATTCTTATTTGTGGTTCTATGTATGCATGCACGTTCATCTTAGTTGTTTGTCACGGTTTTTGCCAATTCTAGCCCAGTCGATTCAGAGTTAGTTTCTTTTTGTAAGAGAAACGATTAGGAGTTAGTTAGCGGGACGACTCCATGTCCACTAATCTTCATTTTTTTGATAAATGGGGATTTTATTAACTTAAAATGTAGCACCAAATGGATACAAAGCATTATGAGTAACACCCGGCCTCTGCATAATTAGGATGCACACAGTCGAACATCAAAAGTCTGACAACCAGAAGAAAACGAAAACTGACAAATCGGCAATAGTAGAGTCCTATAGACCGACACTGTGCCTATGTCGAAAGGTGAGATGGACCGATCCAGAGGTTATGCTGCCACTCATGTTGGGTAAAAACCTCCGCAGCCACTTGCTCCAACCGCGTACACACCGTCTTGAACATCGGTTGGACCTCCGCTCGTTGTAGCATAGACCACGTACGAAGCGAGTGCATACAACAAAAAATAGCCTGCAAAGGAGAAGCATTTTTGTCATTAAATACAAAATCATTTCTACATAGCCAAAGCGACCATAGTAAGGCATACGCTCCCACCCTCAATAGCGTTTTGAACCTATCTGAAATACAGTCCAACCAATGACCAAAAATATTGGCAACACTTGTGAGCGGATATAAACTTGACGCTATTTGGATGACTGACCACGTAGAACGTGCAAAGTTGCATTGGAAAAAGAGGTGTCTGATTGTCTCATCATGAGTACAAAAACAACACTTCTTACTCCCTTACCAATTGCACCGTGCGAGGTTGTCTTTGGTTAGCACAATTCCCCTACGAAGATACCACATGAAGACTTAAACTTTTAGTGGTATCTTCGACCTCCAAATTTTCTTATTATTACTCACCGGTACCTCAGAATACATGAGCGCACAATAAATAGAGTCTACGGTGAAAGACCCTGATGGAGTAAGGTTCCAGCGAAACACATTCCGACCTTCTGTCAGGCTAATCGCATCCAGACGGGACAAAAGATTATGCCATGACATAAGTCAGGGGCAGTCAAATCCCGCCTGAACG